TTCACAGCGAAATAGAGTAAAACCAAAAATTACTTTTGAGCGTCCACAGAATCACATTACCCACATGGGTTCTGAAACCATTTATGAGCCTAATCGTCCATGTTATTCAAATGGGCTTCAAAATAATCAGGCCGAGCCCATTTCAGTATAACCTTTTTCTCTTTTCGTTATCAAGTTCATTTCAGTTGCAACTTTCCCGCTCGAAAAACAACCACCCTAGGCCTAGAGCTGAAGAAATTTTAGTATTGCTACGGCAGAGCATCCTCCCTTAGGAAACTCTCTGTCTCTCTCGAAACCCCTTCTAATGGCACTGAGTTTTTCTTTGCCATCAATAATAATCTTTATTTTTGAATAATGTTACTCTTACTACATTTGTATACTATATTTCCATACCACCTTATGTGGCAGATGAGGTAGATAATCACATCAATTAAAATTATTTAATCTTTTCTTTTCTTTTATGATTTATTAACACTTTTATAAATAAAAAAAATTGTTAATTAAACTTTCTCTATTAAAATACACTTCATTGATTTAATTAATGTGACATATGACATGGACATGCCACATCATATGGTAAAGAAATGTAAGATAAAAAGGTTTTTTAGGTTTTAGACATAAAAAAAATTTCACTTTTGGAAAAAGCCAAAGCTTTTTCAAAAAAGACAAAAAAACCACTCAACTTTCAAATCAAAGACATGCAAATGTATTGGATTCCTTAGGAAATCTAAAAATAAATAAGGGCATTTTTGTCCATTTTTGCTTCTTTTAAAATTTTTCTCTCTCCTTTTGCTTTTTCCAAAATGTCCCAAGATAAAAATATGGTAAGTGTAGCATTACTCTTATTTTTATACTAAAATATTGGGATGTGATTATGTTAAAGGGTTAACAAATTAGTAATTCTTGTTAATACAAGCGATAGTCAAGGGAGAGGAGGTTTCTCTCACACACAATACCAAGGTGTTATGGGGGTTGAACATGAGACCACTGATCTGCAAGTCAAGGCATTTAAATAGACCCTGTTGGCAACAAATTAGTATTTTTGTTACTATAATTACTATAAAATTGTCATTCATTATGTTTATGATATAAAGATTTTAAGGATTGTACTCAAGTTTGAGTCCCTTTCTTTGGTAGTGCAGATAATTCAGAGCAGTGTAGATTATCACTTGTATAAAATAAAATAAAATTTTATTTTCATTAATTGAGAAAAAAAAAAACAAACAAACAAGTCAAACAATAAATTAAACATATGCGTGGTAGAAAAGTTTTTTGATAAATATAATCGTAATATATATGTAATATATATAAATAAAAACTTTAAGTCTCATGTAATTTCCGATATGACCCGTTATACGATTCGAAACCCGCACAGAGAAAACACGAAACGAACCCGCACAATAAAAATTTGGGTCATTTTCGAGTCAACCTGTCATGACCTGTTTAATAAACAGGTGGGTTTCGGGTCAATCCGCCAACCCACTAAAACACATGTTTGTTTATTAAACACGTCGTGTCAACCCGTGTAATATTTGCCAACCCGCTAAAAAATGAAAGGAAATGGAGACTTGAGCGCGCACACACAAGGGATTGCCACTTTCATTCATCTCCAACACCTTATCCACCATGTTGCAAACAACTTTGTGATTATATGCTACACCGACCATTTGATATTTATAATGTTTCCACAAGTTGTTTTTCAAAGAAGTAGAATTGAATTTCTTTTTTTTCTTTTTTTTTTTGTGTTTGGACAAAGAAGTATAATTTCACATGTACATAATTTGATATTTATATTTATAACAATTATATACATAACTATTTTAATAATTTACACATGTTTCTTTACGCATAAAATATGGTAAGTGTAGCATTACTCTTATTTTTATACTAAAATATTGGGATGTGATTATGTTAAAGGGTTAACAAATTAGTAATTCTTGTTAATACAAGCGATAGTCAAGGGAGAGGAGGTTTCTCTCACACACAATACCAAGGTGTTATGGGGGTTGAACATGAGACCACTGATCTGCAAGTCAAGGCATTTAAATAGACCCTGTTGGCAACAAATTAGTATTTTTGTTACTATAATTACTATAAAATTGTCATTCATTATGTTTATGATATAAAGATTTTAAGGATTGTACTCAAGTTTGAGTCCCTTTCTTTGGTAGTGCAGATAATTCAGAGCAGTGTAGATTATCACTTGTATAAAATAAAATAAAATTTTATTTTCATTAATTGAGAAAAAAAAAAACAAACAAACAAGTCAAACAATAAATTAAACATATGCGTGGTAGAAAAGTTTTTTGATAAATATAATCGTAATATATATGTAATATATATAAATAAAAACTTTAAGTCTCATGTAATTTCCGATATGACCCGTTATACGATTCGAAACCCGCACAGAGAAAACACGAAACGAACCCGCACAATAAAAATTTGGGTCATTTTCGAGTCAACCTGTCATGACCTGTTTAATAAACAGGTGGGTTTCGGGTCAATCCGCCAACCCACTAAAACACATGTTTGTTTATTAAACACGTCGTGTCAACCCGTGTAATATTTGCCAACCCGCTAAAAAATGAAAGGAAATGGAGACTTGAGCGCGCACACACAAGGGATTGCCACTTTCATTCATCTCCAACACCTTATCCACCATGTTGCAAACAACTTTGTGATTATATGCTACACCGACCATTTGATATTTATAATGTTTCCACAAGTTGTTTTTCAAAGAAGTAGAATTGAATTTCTTTTTTTTCTTTTTTTTTTTGTGTTTGGACAAAGAAGTATAATTTCACATGTACATAATTTGATATTTATATTTATAACAATTATATACATAACTATTTTAATAATTTACACATGTTTCTTTACGCATCATAACCAATTCTCACATTATTGTGATCATGGAAAAATTCTTTGTTTTTTCCAATCAACAAAACAAAAAACAAAAAATACTCATGTCTAATTTTTTTTTTCTTTTAAGCTCTCATATCATTATCATCAATCTCACTCTCTCTCTATGGTTTCTCCTACTAAAAAAACAATTGATGGAGTTGTTCAAAACTGAATTCCACTAGTTACTAGTTGCTATCATTTTTTATTAAACAAATTATTAACAATGTAACATGTTTAAGATGACCAGAATCCGACACAACACATTTATTAAATGGATCAGGATTGGGTTGAGCATTATTGACACGTTTATTATCCCGACACACACGAACCTGACACAATACGACTCTTTACCAGCTCTACGCGTGATAAAAAAAACAGCATATCGCACAGGCGAAAATGCGTGCAGAGAGACTGGTCCTTAATGAAAAGAGTTGAAATCATACAACCTAGTAAATTTTCTATTTTTTCTCTTGGTTTTTGGAGAAGAAGAAATGACATAAACATAATATGCTTGGGTTCCTGCCGAGAAGGATTTTGATCTCACGTTTATTGCATGCTCCACCTACCAATCATGTTAATTATAATTTCGTAGTGCCAGATGGTAAACCTGAATCAAAATTACAGTTGTGAGGCGTGTTGTATGTATCCATTAATTGTTTAGAGAGAGAGAGAGAGAGAGAGAGAGAGAGAGAGAGAGAGAGAGAATTGAGTATGATTCCCACGAATAAAAGAAAGTGGCAAGAGTAGCAGCAAGCATAGAGCCTCTGAATTAGGCATCTAAACACCCCAAAATAAGGTCCATGTCCCAATCCAATCCAACACTTGAAATTAATCTTTCAAATAATATCGAGTGTCCTGCAATCTGCATGCTAATTAACATAACATGTGCTCTTAAACTTGTCTATCTACATCTATATTTCTCTCTTTTCTCACACATACATATACACTAGTTGTACACACTCACACAAACAAAATATCAAAACCTTATATATATGTACTATATTATATATACCTTGTTCTAGGGAGAGAATTCCCAATACACACGTAAAAAAAGATATGGTGGTTTTGAGGACACCTAAACAAAATGGAGGAAGTTCTCTTCTGTTAATGCAGACAATTTGTTGAACCATGAAAAGCACATGATTAAACTGCCAACCCTAACCATCCAAAGTCATCCTTCTAATAAAGAGATGGATTACAGAGGCCGCTGGTCATGAGAGAAATATAATACCAGATTAAGAAAAATGCATTTAAGGTCAAGGACTTCTCTCATCCTTCCATATTAAGCGATTCCCCTCACGATCGTACGCGCGACAGATACTTTCTTAAGGTAATTATGAACTTTTCTTGTTTTCTTTTGAATTTTATAGCAAGTCTTTTGCTGTTTCTAACGAAGGTACGTAATAACTCATGTGGTCCATATAATTTTGCTCAGAGTCCTACATGTAGCTAGATATTCTACAAGACGAACAGATGAAGATGATATCATATAGGTTACCAATCAGCTGTCTGAGCTGACTTCTGCACTCCCATGTATTTTGTTGAATATAACTAGTGCAGATCATTATAAAGATTATAAGCTTGGCAAAATGATACATGGCATGTGATGTACTTAATGGATGCTCCTCCATCTAGCTTCAATTGGATCTTCTTATGCCTGAAAACTAGTGGCTAAGATATATTGTTGTACTGGTTTGACATTAATTTGATTGATTGTGTGGAATGAGCGTGTCATTAATTTTACTCGTTCAAGTTAACGCCGAGAAAAGCAAAGAGGGTGCTAGTAGGGGAGTTTGCGTCAAAAAATTTAATAGGTTTCAAATCAACATCCCATTTTTTGTCACATGAGCTGTATTTGAAGATGAAGAAACACCACCTTTCTTGGTAATAATATTAATGGCTGTGGGGGATTGAAAGCTTAGATAAATGTATTTGCCACTTATAAGTAGTGTAGATCAAAAGAAGATTGCAAAACATGTCCAGCTCCTAGCCTAGTTCTAGTCCTATAGCTATAGGATTCCTACGTAAATAATTTCAGACATTAATATTAACTAAACAGCATTAGACTGATGATGTGATAAGATTAAACAATTAATCATCTCAGATCAACTGCATATATTTTTCTTCTTCAATCTCTCCATGATCAAGCCTTTTGTGTTGTTATCCAAAAGGATGATCATCTTCTTGTATAGGGCCCTTATTAGAAACAGGTGGGTGATCTCAGGAAAGAAGCTGATTGCGGGAATATTTCGTTATTTGATACTGTCTGCAGGGCTGCTGTGGCGACTTGAAAACGACCGCGACTATTCAGGCAGGAAGAAAATCATCATGAGGGGAAAGCAGGTTTCAGGAAGAGCCATGTTGGTGCTATGTCTTGCAAGTTTTCTTGCAGGATCACTGTTTTGTGCTAGCCGCATGACATGGACCACTCAACCATCTTCTGATCCGAACAAAGAAGCTCATCAATTTCCCATCATTTCCAACCAGTTGAAGAAGCTAGAGGCCTCTGTCAAACAAGATTGTGATCACAAGCGGGTAAGTATTATTACTCTCATCAATAGTCAACAATATACGTTATATATCTATATAGCTGTTATTCATTTTTCAATATGATGAGACAGTTCACGTGTAAGTTAACACATGCAGTCTGATATCCATCATATGATCAATTGGAAAGTTGATTGTGCATCTTCTTTTCATTCGTTTTTCAACTTAGTCAATGTGACATCTTGCTTATTTATTTTGAGCACTGGCTAGCTACTAATTTTCTTCTTCTTTCCCCTTTTTGAATCAGAAATTGGTTGAAGGAAAATCGGAAGATGACATAATGGGGGAGGTGACAAAAACCCATCAAGCTATCCAGTAAACTCTAAACAACAATATTTCTCTCTCTCTCTCTCTCTCTCTCTCTCTCTCTCTTCATACATTCGTTATATTAGACTAATCTTATTAACTTTTCTGTTCTTGTTTATAAATTATATTGAAAAAACAGATCACTGGATAAAACAATTTCAAGGTTGGAAACGGAATTAGCAGCAGCAAGAGCAAACCAAAGATTAGATGGACAAGTCAAGTTAGACGGAGCATCAAACAAAGCCAGTCCTCCTAAACAAAAAGCTTTTGTTGTCATTGGAATCAACACAGCTTTTAGCAGCAAGAAACGACGAAAAACAGTTCGAGAAACCTGGATGCCTAAAGGTGGTTGTTATAAATTTCCAAAGAAAGAAGATATCAATGTTAATGGAATGGAATTATAATTTATATATTTGATGGGTGCAGGAGATGAGCTAAAGAAGCTGGAGAAGGAGAAAGGGATTGTTATAAGGTTCGTGATAGGGCAGAGTGCCACGCCGGGGGGCATGCTTGATAGAGCAATTGAAGCAGAAGAGGCAGAGCACAAGGACTTCCTTAGGCTCAACCACGTGGAGGGCTACCATGAGCTCTCCACCAAGACCCGCTTGTATTTCTCCACTGCCATCTCCATTTGGGATGCTGACTTTTATGTTAAGGTCGACGATGATGTCCATGTTAATCTCGGTATGTAAATACTTTTGCTAGCTACAAGCCTGCAACTAAATTCAGTCAACAAATTCAAAAGAATATTAATTGGGTTTGAACTTTGATTTGGTGCAGGAATGGTAGTGATTGCACTTGCAAGCCACCGGTCCAAACCCAGAATTTATATTGGTTGCATGAAGTCAGGCCCAGTTCTTTTTCACAAGTGAGAATATTTTTCACTTCTTCTCCTCTTCCTTCCAAAGAATTAGAGTCCAGCTAAACGAGATTAATTAAGAAAACAAGAATGTAATATTACAAACTGTGGGTGCAGAGGGGTCAAATATCACGAGCCAGAGTATTGGAAATTTGGTGAAGAAGGAAACAAGTATTTCAGGCATGCCACTGGCCAAATCTATGCTATCTCTAAGGACCTGGCTGCCTACATCTCCATCAATTTGTGAGCACATTTTAATCACTCGCTTTGTTTTATCTTTTTCATTTCGTTGGTTGGGCTGGGCTGCAATTAACAATAACATATGCATGGTACATTTTCAGGCCCATATTGCATAGGTATGCCAATGAGGATGTATCATTGGGCGCCTGGTTAATTGGGCTTGAAGTTGAACATGTGGACGACCGCTCCATGTGTTGTGGGACCCCTACAGGTATTCTCTACTTACCATATCACTTGATTGGTGTCTATTGTATTACGCATAGTGAATTACTCAAGTAAAGGGATGATTAATGATGTTGTTAGTGATGTGACGATAGTTGAATTTGTGTTGTATGTACAGAATGCGAAAGGAGGGCAGAAGCAGGTAACGTATGCGTGGCTTCATTCGATTGGAAGTGCAGCGGGATATGTGATTCTGTGGAGAGGATGAAAGACGTGCATAACTTGTGCGGGGAGGGAAATGGTGCTGTTTGGAACATTGATCTTTGATTTCAATACCTATTAATATTATATATATATATATGGTCTACTCTAGAGACTAGAGATGAAAATAGAGAGAGAGAGAGAGAGATAGAGTTACAAAATCCTCGCCAACTTTATTAATTTTTTTGAAAGATTTTGTGTACCTCTTTTGTCTTGTTTGTTTTACATTTTAGTGACACTAATGGAATAAATATGGGGGATATGCATTGCAATATTCTTATGTTAGTTTTTATTTATTTATAATAAATACTGCTTGGCTTGACTCATGAGAGCATCTTCAATCGATATGTTAAATTGTCACATGGACATGAAATGACAAAAACTGAAAGTTAAAGTTGCTCCAACCGAATAGTTAAATCTTACATGAATTTAAAGGTTTGAAGAAATATGTCAAAAATAGCATATCAAAAAACTTGATGTTAAATATTATTTAAATAATTTTTTGGTATGAACCCCATTATCATTTACTCTCTTTTAAAACTTATGAGCCCTATTTATTTTTAAAAACATAAATCATCAAATTCAAATTTAACATTCTCCATTCAACATCTGCCGTGGAGAAGGAGATGCTCTAATAGTAAATTAGTAATAGATAAAGTGTTTTTATTTAAGCAAATTTATGTATTGTGCATGAAACTTTGATTTGCCTGTAAACAGAAAATAAATCCTGAGTCGCTCAATATTGGAAAGAAGCAGCTTGGCGAAACAAAAGCAAACAAGAGATAAAACCAAAATAATTACTCATCATGCTATAGGGATAGGGTGGTGGGGTCGGGGTGGTGGTGGGGTCAGATAAATACATGTGTAGGGCCAGAAAGGTCCAAAAGGGTTTTGCAAAGAAGAGGTTATTGGTCCAAGAATACCGAAGACCGGAGACCGAAGACCGACTTTTGTTTTCCCATAGAAATTAAATACGATTACAAATATGAATTAAAAAGAAAAGAAAAAGAAAAGTTGGAAGGTGGGAATAGAAAAGGAAACAGAAGGCGAAGGAACCGCCATACGAAACCTTGGGATTTTAGAATTTCTCCTTCTCTCCTTCTCCCTATAAATACGACTAGTAAATAAAAAAGTAGGACATAGCAAAGCAAAAACGCAGCGGTTGAAGAAAGCGCTTCCCCTTCCCCCCTTGTTTATCTAGATTAATCTAATAGTCTTTATAATAAAAAGATTGTAAGACTGATTTATTATTAGCGACCGATTTCCCTCTCCTCTCCTCTCCTCTCCTCTCCTCTCCTCGCGTCTCTCTTCTTATTTATTTATTTCTTTATTTGTGAATGTGTGTGAAGAAGTTTTGAGAGAGAGTTTTGAATTTAACACACAACAGCAGAAGCAGCAGCAAATCACTAACAAAACTAAACAAAGTACCAAATACGAAACCAGATCTACTATGGTCATGACCGAGAGACCTGCCAAGCGGCTCAGGAGGAGGGTGACCGCTGATCTCCCGGACTTTTTCACCTTCCCTCAGCCCCATAGCGACGTCGTTCCCCCACAGCCCTTCCGTGAGAGCGTCCGCAGCTTCCTCATTCGTCACGCGCACGTCACGTGCCCATCCTCCTCGTTGTTCCCGTCCTTGGTCACCTCACAGATCTCGCTCCGGGTCGGGCATCCGGGCGACCCGACCGCCGTTCTTCCCTTGGACGTCGTCGAGGAGGACGTCACCCGCTCCAGACGATCCGTCTACTGCGACCAGTGCCGAGTCGTTGGTGAGTCCACTCACCGACTCTCCCTCTCACTCTCACTCTCTCTCTCATAGACGTAGACATACGTACATTCAGATGGATGCTTTGCTTTACTCTCTCTCGCTTTTTTGTTTTTGTGCGTAGAATATGTATGAGCTTTGGATAATGTTTTCGTTTGCTTTCTTTGACAAAAATTTTACGTTTGCTTCCTTCCTTTGACAAAAATTTTACGTTTGCTTCCTTTGACAAAAATACAAACAATAGGTTGGAGTGGGCATCCGGTGTGCAAAAAACGATACCATTTCATAATAAGAAGAGGCGCTGGGACTTGTGAGACTGAGATTCCCTTGCACCACCAGCAGCAGCAACAACAATACAACAACAAAAGTAACAACTGTTGCAATTCTATGAGTGCGACAATGGAGGATACGGATGATGTTGAAGAGTGGGCGTATCTTCAACTTCATGATAATACTCATCTTCTCCATGCCGTCATTCACTCCAACGGCTTTGCCCACCTTCTAACCCTCAACGGCAGACAAGGAGGCTCCACCCTTCTCTCTGGCCGTCACATTTTGGACTTGTGGGATAGGCTCTGTCAAACCCTCTCTGTCAGGTCCATAATTCCTTCCTTACTAGCCTTTACTTCAAGTCATTGTCAAAATTATAATCATTCTCGCTGTTATAATTATTTTTTGATTGAGATATAAATGGGAAAGTGATACTGAATTGCATTACATGTTTTGAACTTGAACAATGAACAGAAAAGTTAGTGTGATGGATGTTTCGAAGAAGTATGGGATGGAGTATCGATTGCTGCACACAATCATCAACGGCCATTCTTGGTATGGAGATTGGGGCTATGAATTTGGTGCTGGGAGCTATGCTCTCACTCAAGATTCTTACCACAAAGCAGTGGATACCCTGTCCAGCTTGCCTTTGCACCCTTTTCTATTCCAACCAAGGAGACCCCGGACTCGCATGCAGTCTGTTATTGCTTTTTACCAATCTTTATCCGATACCCAACTACCAACAATCAAGGATCTTTTTACATACATGTTGAGTCTCATCCATAGATCTCGCAAGCCCACATCATGTAAGAAACCCCAGCATCACACTTCCAATGCTTTATGTGCGTGGACGGCCAATGATGTCGAACATGTGCAACAAGCTATGATCAAGCTGCTACTTGCAGCAGTTGGTGTTGGAGAGGATAGCTGGGTGTCAAAGCGTGCCCTCAGGGCCGCGTTGTACAAGAGTTCCTCTCCGGAGCTTCTTGATTACAGCCTTAAGCACCTGGGAGGGAAGTTGGCAGCTAATGGTATGGTAATTAAGGCCCGATGCAGTCCCGCTTCAATTGATGTAGAATACAGGTAAAGAGACCAGCATTGTTTGGTTCACTTGCTTTTGTCAACTTATACATGCTTTGAGTCCTGACACTCATTATGGTAACAGGCTTGAGCCATTGATTATTGGGAACGTTGATGGATCCGAGGATTTGAATTATCCATCAGAACAGCAAATCCTCTGTGACCTCAAATTTTTATATGATTCCATTATCCACCCTGACACCATGCTAAGCTATACACCTCAAGTGATGAGGGAACGTGTTATTGACGCAGCAACTAAGCTTCTCGATTGCAAGCAATTTGTGAAGGACTACATGCCTGATAAAATGGCAGCGGAAAGCTCCTTGGGCATTCACCTCTGGTGTCATGTGGAGCTTTCAGATGAACCCAAAGATGATTTGGTCCTGCCTCCAGAACTGATTGTCTTGCCCTTGAATGCAACCGTTGCTGACCTTAAAAGGGAAGCTACCATAGCCTTCCAGGAAGTATATGCCATGTTTAAAAGGTTTGAAGTTGAGGAATTGCTTGAATATGGCTCTATAAATGATTCATTTACAGTGAAACTTCTGGTTGGAACATGTGGCTCGATTCGTTTAAAAGGGAGATGCCCTGCAAAACATGGTCTTAACCGTTTTCGGATGGAGAGAGGACTTGAAAGCTGGACCGTTGATTGCACATGTGGGGCCAAGGATGATGATGGGGAGAGGATGTTGGCTTGTGATACATGTGGTGTTTGGCAGCACACAAGGTGTGCCGGGATTCATAGCTCTGATGCGATCCCTGCAAGGTTTGTTTGCATGAGATGTGTAATCTCATACCGCAAGAAAAGCCAAAACATCAATGATCCTGCCAAGGAAGCTAATATTAGTGCCCCCTTCTCCAACACAACTTGCAGAGCTAAGGCATCTGCAACTGATAGCCCAAGCGTTGCATCTAACATGAACATGGCATTTAGGGTACTTTGATTGTAATATTAACCTTATGTACAGATGACATTTGGTAGGTTTTTGAAGGGGGCAGATTTTTTCGCGTTTTAGGAGTTCCTTGTGAACTTTGCCCCGTCGCCTCATTTTGAGAGGAGTTTTTTTTTTGTCTCTGTATATAGCTCAATGAAAAAGAAAAAACAAATATTTATTATGTTACTAAAATTTTCAGTCATGGTTACTGATCGTGAAAAATGCAATAGGTACAGAATTACCTCTTCATTGCCCTACTCTTTGATCAGAATTCTTACCTGTTTTCTCGGGCTGTGTTAAGAAAACATTTCTAGCTTCTAAATTAGTGACATGGGGTTCTGTCCTAGAAAGAGAAAGGTGTTTAACGGCTGTGCACAGACCAGTATACTTGGTAACAACTTGTTTGTACACGCTCAGCAACCTCTCCACATCTCCAATTGTCAAATCCCCAGCCTCTTTGTCCATATAAGGGTAATTTGACGCACCTGTAGTTTTCAATAGAATGTTTAGATGGAATATAACAACCAAAAGTATAACAAACGAATATTTCTAATGGTTGATACATTTATCTGCATAGTTTTGGATGGAATATAACAACCAAATAATTTTATCCCCTTCTATCCGTACACCTAACTCCTATTATTTAATTTTCATATTTAAAAAAATTATTACTTGAAAACAAGTAAAAACGAGAGGGAAAGAACAATTGAAGTAGCTCATTATGTCTCTTTAAGGGGACAACTCAATCGCTAAAGTCATGCGGTTCCTTCACAACGGTTGGCATTGGTTGCATGTATTGTACTATGTAATTTAGAAAGGAAAGAAAAAATTATACTATATAAGCTTGTGATTTGATGATGTTCAATCACAATGCATTATCTTAGTAATCCTACACCAATTAAAATTATCAGGCGGATTCGAACACCACAACTAAGAACTGAAGAAAGGGTAACCTTAAGGAAAGTTAACAATATAGTTTGAAACTTACCACTTGTTTCTTTATCATGTGATCTTGCTGAAGGGCCAGGATCGGTCTGGCCTTGCGAGGTTGTCCTTTCTTCCAAAGTGGGCGTGGCTTCCTTTTCTGTCTCTTTATTGGTCGTTCTTGCCGCTTGCA